TGAAGACAGAAGACCGGCCAGAAGAGGTAAAGGGGGGGGGGGTAAATAATTCATTAAAATAATTATTATTTGTAGCCTAATGTTGTATAAAGTACTGTTGCAGCAATGCAGAATGGCACCCTCTATAGAGGACTACAAATCTCAGCAGTACTTGAGCTCCCCAACATTACATCTGTCATGAGAGAGGAATGAAGGAACCTATCAATGTCAGGGCTCCATTCCGGCCACACGAGTACCTCCATCCTGAAGTGGTCAAACCATGTCTTGACATAACTGCTGGGTTTACATCTGCTTCAACTCCAGCACATGGAGCCAGACCCCTTCTGCAAGTTTATGGCCTTTGCTAAAACCCACAGTGGCAAGAAAAAAAAACGACCCCCGTCACAGTGGTAGGTATGCAGGCACCATTATTTTACTCCTCAGAAGGCCATCCCCGCCATCCACCAGCATTTTGGAATGCAACGAGCCAGCAGAAGCTAAAGGTGAGATTGGGGAAATCGGGAAGATTTTAGAAGTTACACATGGGTGGAGTTAAATTGGGGAGCACGTGGGTCCTCTTTTGCAGGTAACTTGTGGTGGAAAGGGTCTTTTATGGTCAAATGCCTGCACAAGGACCCATGGAATCAATTATCAAAGAGAAGAACCACGATTGGGTGGCTATCCTCTCACATCCCAATACAAGGGATCTAATGCCACCACCCCAGAGGGAGCCCAAAATGAGGCACTTTGAGGAGGTGCTGTGCAAGATCCTATTTGTGGCATTTTCTGATATAAGCAGGATTTAATCTGACAAACGTGCCTCCGGCTCTCTGACACGTGTCAGGGTTTTATTTTTTTTAAACTACAGCGGCCCAGTTTGTTTGCAGGCAGCGTGCTCTGATAATGCTTTGCGTATTCTTATTGAAAACATTGATTTTTTTTTTTTTAATCTACATCTATTAATTTTTCAAACAATATTCACCATTTATAACATATAACTCCGCAAATACACAAAAAAAGATAAAAAACAAAACATTAAAGAAAAATACACATGACCCTTATTTTATACATAATATCCATAACTTAAAGTGTTTCTAAACACTCCGGCTTTTTTGCATATACCGTATTTTGCGGTCTATAAGACGCTCCGGATGATAGGACGCAGGGATTCTGTGGCAGAAGCAGCAGTCAGTGACCGCTGAGACAGGTGGCGCTGTGATTACAGCGCCACGGTCTCGGTAATCACACAGAGCAGGACCTGGATAAATGAGAACCTTCACAGATGTGTCCAGAAACATTGGAGAACTCCTTGTATGTACATAGTTACATAATATTTGAGGTTGAATAAAGGTCCATCAAGTCCAACCTTTGGGTGTCTGTATGTGATTGTGCATGTGTGTGTGTGTGTGTGTGTGTGTGTATATGGATCCCTGTCTGGTCTAATTTTTAAGAGTACCTGTACCCCTGTATGTTACGGTCTCTGAGGAAATCATCTAAATGCTTTTTGAATGATTCATTACTCTCAAATGATACTCCTGCTTGTGGCAGAGAATTCCAGACCCTGACCGCTCTGACTGAGAAGAATCCCCTACACCCCTTGTGGTTAAATCTTTTCTCCACCAGTTTTAGGTGGTGGCCTCTAGTCCTTGTTATGGAGTAAAAAGTTTATCCCTGATGTTGCTAGCACCATTGAACATCTTGTACATCAGTATCATGTCCCCCCTTAATCTCCTCACCTCCAGCATGAACATATTTAAATTTAGTAGCCTTGTCTCATAGCTTTGGTCCTCCAGCCCCTTCATTAGTTTAGTTGCCCTTCTCTGGACTCTCTCCAGCTCCAGGACATCCTTTCTGTGGATTGGTGACCAAAACTGAACCGCATACTCCAGATGAGGCCGAACCAGCGATCTATAAAGTTGCAGAATGATTGCATTGTCTCTACAGTACATTCCATTTATAATACAGGACAGAACTCTGCTCGCTGTGTGTGCCACAGCCTGGCATTGTGTGCCTCAGCCTGGCATTGTGTGCCCCAGCCTGGCATTGTGTGCCTCAGCCTTGCATTGTGTGCCGCAGCCCGGCATTGTGTGCCGCAGCCCGGCATTGTGTGCCTCAGCCTTGCATTGTGTGCCGCAGCCCGGCATTGTGTGCCGCAGCCCGGCATTGTGTGCCGCAGCCTGGCATTGCAAGCTGTTATTCAATCTGTGGTCTACTATGACCCCCAAATCTTTTTCTGACTTCCCTAGCGGAGTTCCCATGAATGTGTATTACTCTTGTCTGTTTTTGACCCCAAAGTGCATTACTTTACATTCATCAACATTAAACCTCACCTGTCATTTAGTTGCCCCTCCCCCTATTTTATCCAGGTCCTCCTGTAATGTTATAATATCTAATGTTTATCACCCTCCCAATTTTAATGTCATCAGCAAACACAGAAACATGGCTGTTAATACTTTCCCCAATATCATTAATAAACAGGTTGAATAGTATGGGGCCTAGCACAGAACCCCGGGGCCCACCACTCCCGACCCTAGACCAGTCTGAGAAGGAGCCATTCATAGATACTCTCTGGACACGTTCCCGTAGCCAATTCTCTATCTATGTACTCACCATTACATCTATGCCCATAGACCTCAGCTTGTGTAGTAAGCGTTTATGTGGTACCATGTCAAACGCTTTGGCAAAATCCTACTGTATGTATGTAGACTTGTCTTTGTGTTACGTGTTGTCTGGGTTTGTGGGTCACTTCTATATAAACTTAAAACCTAACAAACCTGATGAATTATTTGACCACTTCAGAGACTAGAACAATGTTTCTCTGTCAGTTTCTGGTGACAGTTGATGGCCTCATATTCTTTGTCGCTCTGAGCAGAGGTCTGCGGGCAGCCCCTCTCAGTTCACAGTTTCTCAGGCTGTATATAAGAGGATTTAGGAACGGGGTGAAAAATGCATAAACTACAGACACTATGCGACCAATCAGAACATTCTTGGCTTTGGGTTGAATGTAGTTGAAGAAAGTAGTTGTATAAAACATGAGGACTACGGTGAGGTGGGAACTGCCGGTGGAGAAAGCCTTCTGTCTTCCGCCCTTGATTTTAATCCTCAGCATGGCTTTTAAAATGCAGACATACGACATGAAAGTGACGGCGAATGCAATGAGGGCGGAGCTTACCCCAAAGGTGGAAATGAGTAAGTCATTGAGGGAGGTGTCAGAACATGACACCAGAACCAGCTGATACAATTCACAGAAGAAGCCTGAGATGGTGGAGGAGTCACAGAAGTCCAATCTTACCATGTTTCCCCGAAAATAAGACAGTGTCTTATTTTTTTTTTTGCACGAAATAAGACACTAGGTCTTATTTTCGGGGGATGTCTTACCTAGCTGCAGCTGTGCTCTGCCGTCCAGGGAGCCACAAACACACAGAGTGTGTATCAAGGAGCAGGCGGAGCCGATGACCCAGGCGCTGGAGGCCAACTGAACACACATACTCATGCTCATCATGGTCGTGTAATGAAAAGGAAGACAAATGGCGACATATCGATCATAGGACATCACGGCCAGGAGGAAGAATTCAGTGCTGGTGAACACGGTGAAGAAGAAGGCCTGGGCCATACATGTTGAGTAATAAATCGACCGTTTTCCGGTAATTATGTCAAAATACAAATGAGATGCAGACATGGTGGGGGCGCCAATGTCTACAACCGAGAGGTTCCCAAGGAAATAATACATGGGGGTCTGTAGGTGGGAGTCTATGGCCACCAGGACAATGATCAGCAGATTCCCTGCCAGTGTGGCCCCATAGACCAGGAGGATCAGAAGGAAGAGCGGGATCTGAAAATCTATGACGACTGACAGGTCGAGCAGAATGAATTCAGGCCGAGACGTTTGATTTGCCACCATGACCAGTGTGGTATTGTGTGGCAATCCCACTGTAGAATTGGGTGTGATGATCACCTGGGACTCTCAGCCAGATGGGCTGAGACGAGTCAGGAAGCAAGGGTTTGTCAGGACTATGCTTGGGATCCTGGAACTGGGAGGTTTCAAGGTGATTCAGGAGGGAAGATGAGATCCACCTGTCCTGACTTGAACTGTCTCTGCCTTGTGCTTTCACCTGCCCAGACTACTGTCAGCAACAGGCCTGTCCTACAGAGACCCTCTGGTGATACTTTGGCTTAGCCTGCCACAATCTAAAGATCACACGTACTCTTTTCTGCTACCTTTGCTCTGTCCCTGGTGGTACAAAGGCAGAAACTATAGTATTGTGTACCAAGACCTGGGGCCAACCAAGTACAGGTAGAACTTCTTGCTTTATGGGAACAGGGGCTGCTACAGGCAGAAGAAGCCCAGGCTAGGTATATGTTCTGACCTCTGGTACCAGGGCAAGCCTTACATTAAATCACAATAAAATGATAAGGCTTCTGTAAGATTATAGTGATTGGGTGTACACTGTGTTTCCAAGCAACACATGTAAAAGGATTTATTTGCTGTATCGGAGACTGGCAGTGAAGAGTTAAATCTCTTACTAAAAAAACTAGTCAGATTCCAGCCGCGATGGGAAATATAAAACCGTCCCGGAGAATCACAAAGCCGCCACCTGCAAGACTCCCAACATTAATTATGGAGCCCGTCTCATCAGATATAGTATTACTTTAATCTCCGCCACCTGTACACACGGAGCTGAGAGATTCAGGAGTCCCGTGTTTTGGGATTTCTATAAAATAACTACAAAGGGGATTTCTCGGGTCAGTTCCCATCCATTGAAGATCCGATTACTGCATTCATCTAAGGATTTCCAGGTGTTGGGTGTGTTTGTGAGCCGTGCAACCTCCATACTAGACATCTGCCGCTGTTCTTTAAATCTCTCAGATAGATTTATGATCATATTGGAAACATAACTCACCTTAAGAAGTGATGAGGGATTGCTATCAGAAGGTATCAAGGATTGTCTGTGTGGCTGCGGGGTAACTGCTTGGCAGCTGAGGGGGGATTTATCATCATCATTCATTATATTAATCAGTCAGCCATCTTACATTTTAGGAGAAATTGATCAATGTTACTGTTGATGAAGACAATGTAACACAACATCAGAGAGTCGTAATGGGTACTAATGTAACCTTGTACTCAGGGGTGTAACTAGAAATCACAGGGCCCCATAGCAAAATTGTGTATGGGGCCCTGTGATTTCTAGTTATGTCCCTTGCAGAGCCCACCTGAGATCCAAAATAGCTCACCTGAGAGTCACCCTGTAGAGCCCCCCATAGACTCTATGGGGGGCTCTGCAGGGTCTAAGGTGGGCTGGTCACTTCCCTGCACACCTCTTACCGATCAGCCCCGATCCGCTGTCCACCTCCTCCTCCTTCACAGGGCCCCGCCTCCTCTTGCATTGCCGGGCCCTGTCTCCTCTTCCATCGTCCTTTTCTGACGTCACCGGACCCACCTCCTCTTCCCTCGCTGGGCCCTGCCTCCTCCTCCGCTGCCAACACCGGGCCCAGCATCCTCTGCTGTAGCTGCTGGCTGTAACTGACACAGCAGCGGCTGTGAGGAGGAACGCACCGCTGCAAAGATCACAGACAGGTTGTTAGTGATCTTACAGTGACACGTTCCTGCTCACACCTGCCAGTGACAGCCAGCAGCCTGAGATCCCATAGCGACCCAGGCGGCCCACATGGCATCAGGGGGATGTTCTGGCCGGGCCCCCCTGTGCCCTGGGCCCCCATAGTGGCCGCCTGGGTCGCTATGGCGATTGTTACACCACTGCTTGTACTCATGATCCTGTAAGGAAATTGCTATCTTGGGTTCACCTTATTATAGAGGTTTTTGGGGGACTAGATGTAGGGAGGAGGTCCCTGTCCCTCGACACTGAGGCATGGTGTTTTACCAAGGGAACCCCCAAGTATTGTGGCCTAGTATGATACAGGAAAGGAAATGGGGTGCTCCCTTTCCTGGCTACCTAGACTGCATGCCTGGATAAGGGTTTGGGTTGATGTGTGCCCTTTAATCTGCATAAAAACCCTTTTCAAATTAAATTATATATATTTTTTTTTTTGCATTGGTACATGACCCCCATGGCAGCATGCAGCTTCCCATTGCCTTTTCTTAGCAAAAGCTTGCAGGCTCCCCTTGAAAAAGATTCAGCTCCCATTGACTTCAATGGGGTTCAGGGTGCTATTTTTGGGGATCTTGATTTTTTCAATTGTTCAACAAAAGTCCATTGCGTGGTTCACTCATAACAACCCAAGGATGGGACAGAAGGGAAATACCTATCCCAATATCCTGGACAATGCAATGCTCAACTCTCTGAAATTCTTCTGAAACATTCTTATAAACAGTCCCCTCCACAGAGAGTTTTGTACGGACTGTACTTCCATTTATCTTTATACCTTAATTAACAGGGAATTAGACTGGGACTGAGAACACACATACACCGTACTCCAAGGAAGCAACAAATAACAAACACTGCTCATAAACGATAATCAGGAAATCCTTTAGGAGGACAGGCATTGCCATGGGACCCGTGTTAGATAATCTGGTCACCCATAACATGTCATGAAATTATATTTTAGAAGATTTAGGCCTCATTCACACGAGCAAAGGCCGGCGCGTACAGCTCCATGCTGCGTGCATGGCCGTATCGGGCAGCTCCTGGGGAGGACAGGTGCTGTCTGTGATCAGTATGCAGCCCCAGTCCTTCTCTATGGGACTACGTGGCTGTACACAAGGACAAGGACAGGGGCTGCATACTAATCACACGCAGCACCTGTTCGGGAGCTGCCCGATACAGCCATGCACGCAGCACAGAGCTGTACGTGTCAGCCTTTTCTCATGTGAATGAGGCCTAATAAGGTGATGTAACAGTGAACAGTCAGACAGATGGAGTCTGGGTCTACCTGGATCAAGTAAATCCAACACTTCAGGGCCCTACAGGGTCAATCACTTTGTCACATTGAAAATGGGAGTGAGGCCCCGAAATATTGAAGGAAAACGAACACTGTTAATGTGCTGGGGACTTCATGGCTCCATCCATTGCTGTCACTATGAGCACTCATTTGCTATGTTGCTTGAACACCATAAG